GGTTTATGGTAACTCTTTTAATGAATGTCTTGATAATTTAACTAATGTGCTTAGAATATAACCTTGTTTTGAACTATGAAAAATGTCATTTTATGGTTGATAAAAGGTTAATTTTAGGTCATATTGTTTCCTCAAAAGGGATTATGGTTGATAAAGCTAAAACAAATGTTATACGCTCACTTCCTCCACAACTATGAGGGAAATTTATTCTTTTCTTGGCCATGAAGGATTTTATCGCATGTTTATTAAGGACTTTTCGAAGATAGCACAACCTTTATGAAATCTAATTCAAAAGGATCAAGACTTCGACTTTAATTCAAAATGCAAGGAGTCTTTCAATTCATTAAAGGAAAATCTTATTTCAGCTCTAATTATTCAGCCGCCAGATTGGAATCATCCCTTTGAACTTATGTGTGACGCATCAGACACTAGCGTTGGAGTCGTTCTCAGCCAAAAATAAGGAAAGAGCCACATGTCATAGCCTACGCATCTCGAACTTTGGACTCGGCTTAGAAAAATTATTCGACTACGGAAAAAGAACTTTTTGCTATAATTTTTGCTTTAGAAAAATTTAGATCCTATTTGCTTGGTACTAAAATTACTGTTTTTTCTGATCATGGAGCTATAAGGTATTTGATGAGCAAAAAGGAAGCAAAACCGAGGCTTATCCGGCGGATCCTGCTTTTACAATAATTTAACTTGGAAATTAAAGACAAAAAGAGATGCAAAAATCTGATAGCAAATCACTTAAGTCGAATTCCCCTTTCCACATCTGAACCACCACTTAGAGAAGAATTTCCTGAAGAAAAATTGATGGTGGCGCAAAGCATAACTCCATGGTTTGCAGACATGGTTTATTATTTGGCCACATATAAGTTACCATTAGATTTGCCGAGAGCTGAAATCAATCGAATTAAGTGAGAATCTTGACACTATATTTGGGACTATCCTTATTTATGGAAACACTGCTCGGATTAGGTAATTCGACGATGTATTGTCGAAAGTGAGGTAAACTCAATTTTACAATTTTGTCATTCTTACTCTTGCGGTGGTCATTTTGGGCCAAAACGTAAAGCTCATAAAATTCATGAATGCGGTTTCTATTGGCCTAACATCTTTCGGGATTCTTATATATTTTGTAAAACTTGTGAAAGATGTCAACGCATAGGTAATTTAAGCCGTTGGAATGAAATGCCTTTTAATTCTATACAAGTTTGTGAAATTTTTGATGTTTGGGGAATCGACTATATGTGTCATTTTACTTCGTCATTTGGAAATACTTATATTATTTTAGTTGTGGATTATGTTTCTAAGGTGGAAGCTAAATCCACTCGGAATAATGATGCTAAAACTACAGTTAATTTTTTGAAAAATATTTTTTCCAGGTTTGACACGCCACGGGCTATAATAAGCGACAGAGGAACACATTTCATCAACCAAGTAATCGAGTCGCTAATGAAGAAATTTGGAGTAACTCAAAGAATTGCTACCTCTTACCATCTATAAACAAATGGACAAGCACAAGTATCAAATCGAGAAATTAAAACAATTCTTGAGAAAATTGTTAAACCGGAGTTTAAAATTAATCAATGCACTTTGGGCATATCGAACTGCTTATAAAGGTCCCATTGGGATGTCACCACACCAGCTTGTTTTCAGTAAACCATGCCATTTATCGGTCGAGTTAAAACATCGGGCTTATTAGGATGTTAAACAATGTAACATGGACATGGATGCAATTAGTGAAGCTCGGAAATTACACATTCAAGAAATTGAGGAAATCCGAAGAAATGCCTATGATAATGCTCGGATATTTAAAGAAAAAACAAACGAATTTCATGATAGTAGAATTTCTTTTAAAACTTTTTTTGTTGGTCAAAAGGTTTTATTATTTAACTCCAAATTTAAACTTTTTATAGGAAAACTCAAATCAAAATGGCTTGGACCGTTTACAGTTACTCAAGTATTTTCTCACGGTGCTGTTGAAATTGAAGATAACGCAGAAGTACAATTTAAAGTTAATGGTCAAAGATTGAAGCCATATTATGAAAATGCCCTGGTTAGTCTAATCGAAGAAATCAATTTAGAGGAACCCACGTTTTGAAAAACCAGGTCGTCGAGCTAACAACGTTAAACAAAAGTGTTTGATAGGAGGCAACCCATTTCGTTATTTTTTTTGTTTTTGTTTTCGTTTTATTTTCAGTGAACTTTATTTCATTCTATTTATTTTATTTTGAGTAATTTTATTTTTCTCTAAACATATCTGAATTTCGATCGAATATTTCTTACCTTCGCCCGAGCTCGTCACGATATGACCATGGCCACGGTCGCCACTAGAGTGAGGAGTATTCCTTTTCCATCTCTTTGATTTTAAATTTGATATACGTTTTGGGACAAAATGGAATAAGTTAGGGGGAGGATAAGCATGTGACAAATTTTTCCTTAACTTGTTTAATTGTTTGAAATTGAGTTATTCTGATGTTGATATGTTGGGATCGTTGGTTGCTAGTCTTGAATTTCGCTTTATACTCTAGTTTCCATTTGGATTATGACCATGTTTTTGATCGAATTTAATTTGCATGATCGATGATTGATATAACTGGTGAATTTTTTTGTTGAGTTTTGATATCTCATGCTTTAGTCGATAGAGATGAACTTAACTCAATGCATATAAAATTTTCTTGTGAGATTTGAGCCTAACGAGAATATATTTTCTTTCTTGCTCATTGTTTGACTTATGTGTACCGAACTAATTAGGATATTCTAGAACTTGTTGAACGTAATGTTTTAATGTGATAGGGGCACCTAGGATAAACCCACTTTTCCCAAAAAGCCTACCCGTCTATATATCCACTAGTGAACCATATTTGAGCCTATTTCGCTTTCTCTGTTTTACTCCTCATAATTAAACCCGAAGCCTTTCTTTTTATTTTTCCTCTCTTTTCACACCCTTACCGAGACTTGAGATCTTGTATCACTCTTGTTCCATGAATAAAAAGAAAAAAAAAACAACAAGTTGTTCATTGTTTCAAACAACAACAAAAAAAGATCATTTGTTAAAAAAAACAAAAAAAAGGGAAGGAAAAATCAATCACTTCAATTGTCTTTCATCTATTATTTTTCCTTGTTTTGTTCTTCATTGCGCTTCAAGTTAATTCATGGATTGTTCTTAATTATTTGGATATCTTGTTTTGGTATTTTAAACCTTTCTTTTCGGCCTTTTCCCTACCCTAACTTAAGCCCTGTTACACCTTGTTTAAGGATCTCTTGATTATTGCATTATGTTCATTTTTCGTAGTGGAGACTTGATTGGATCCCAAGCCTATGGTAATATTTTGGTTAGTTTCGGTTTGAGTGATTTCATTTATCCCAAACACTTTCAGCGGATATGTGTGAATCTTTGTGAGGTATTGAGTCATGTTTCATTGAAATTGGCAATTAATTGGGATACCTTGCTTACATAAAATTTTCTTGGTTAAGTCTTGGCATGATTGTAACTTGAATTCGAAAAATGTCATGGACTTAATTCGATTGGAAGTTTGAGGAATAAATTGAAATTGAAGATGTCAACTTATGATTTTGATATGTTAATTGAGGAATGCTCGAGGACAAGCATTGAATAAGTGAGGGGGAATTGGATAAGTGCTTATTTTAGTTAATATTTTACTTTTAAATACTCTTTAATCATTGATTTTTGTGGCCTATTTATTCATTTTAATTCATTTTCTGTACAGGATGTAAGATTCTAGAAATTGCACAAAAAGGACACAATTCTGCAGTTTTTATTTTCAGAATCAAAGCTGGTTGGAATTCGGATTTGAATTAAACTCAAGTTTAGGATAATATTTTAAACATTATATTTTATCTTTGTATTTTATTTTAAATAGGTTTTTAGTATTTTAATTAAGTTTTAGGATATTTTTTATATTTTATCTTTGTTTTAGGTATTTTAGTTTAAATAGGTTTTAGTATTTTAATTAGGATTTAGAATATTAATTTTTTAGGTATTTTAGTTTAAATAGTTTTAAGTGTTTTAATTAGGATTTAAGATGTTTTAGCTTATTTTTAGGAATTTGAAGGCTATAAATACCCTCTAAGGGTGAGCCTAGAAACATATCTCTCTCATTTGAGAATAAAATCTTCTTTTTCTCTATAGCTTTCTCTGTATTTTTCGCATACTTTTCTATTATGATAAGTATGACTTTGGTCATGCTTAGCTAATTTTCTTTCAAGCCGAATGCTAAATCGAAGGCTCAATTCCAAACACGAGAATTGTGAGGTACTTAATTCGCTTCAGATTTTCTCTATGTTTTTTGAGCTTACTTTTCAAATCAAAACGATTTCAACATTGGTTCAGATATTGTTATGGTTAACGTTTGAAGAAGGATTTGCTTATTGAAACATATTCAACTTCCCGAGAATACACTTATCAAAATTGTTTGCTAAGAGAAACTGAGATCGAAATCAGTTGTTATTGAAACGACACAATCTGAGTTGGTAGCGAAGAATTGTTCTTGTAAGATGACGTGAATATTGAAGTAAAAATATGTTTCGATGATCCGAGGAATTTGAGACAAAGCTGAAGTCTGGGGCTTCTTTCACAATATGTTTCCCTTTATCTCAATCTCTTTAATTTGTTTATTTAATTATTTTTATTTTATTTTATTCTTATTTTTTTTATTTTAAAAACAACTTTTAAAAATCCCCCTTTTATATTTATTACTATTAATATTTATTATTATATTTTTTTCCTTTTTTTATTTATATTATTTTAATATATCTTTTCAACTTTATCTAAAATTCTATCTTCTTCTAAAATCAAGAAAGAGTTTTATTAAATCAGAAACACCATAGTCCCTGTGGATCGACCCTGCTTCTCTATACTACCTTTCCCTTTTTATTTATTAAGAAGCCATGAGTTATTTTGATAGCAAAAAGACGATTATCAGTACTTGAGCCGCATCTTCTCTTGACAGCACCGTACGAACTTTATTCTCATCTCATCTGGGATAATCAGGAAGCATAAAATCCGCTACCTTAACAGGATTAACACTATTATCCATGTATCTTTCATTCCACCGAAGAGGGCCTAAGACCCCCCATTTGTCCAGGAACATCCGTGACGAGCTGGTAATCCTCACTCTCCAGAGAAAGCCTTCACTCAAAGTATCCTTGGCCTTAATAATGCTTGCCCACACATAAGAGTATCTGTCCCCAAGTCTAGCTTCAAGAAAATTAGAATGAGGGAAGTACTTGGCCTTAAGAACCTTAAATTCCAATGACTCCTCGTCATGAATGAGTTTCCAAACTTGATTGCCCATGAGGGCAATATTGAACAACTTTAGGTCCCTGAAACCCATCCCACCAATTCTTTTGGACCGGCAAACCCTATCCCAAGCAAGCATGGACCAACCTCTAGAATCCTGCTTGCCCAACCACCAATACGACATCACTTGGGTCTTAATATCCTCAATAACTCTTTCTGGCAACAAGTAGCAAGACATGGCGTACGCGCTTGAACCACATACTCGATGAAAATTTCTCGGCCTCCGAATGATAAAAGTCTCTTGGTCCACCCTTGAATTCTTTTAACCGTCCTAGCTTTGATGAAGTTGAAGGCCGCTCTCTTACCTTTCCCTACTGCAAGTGGCAAACCAAGGTAATTTCCAGGATCCTGAGCCTCCACTACTCCCAATAAATTAAGGGAAACCGTACGATCGAAGATTAGAGTATTGGGGCTGAAATAGGTATTGGATTTCTTAAAGTTGACATTCTGTCCTGACACCCTTTCATATTTCAAGAGGATGCTTTTGATTTTCCTCAATTCCTCAACGGAGTTCTTCACAAATAGGATGATATGATCTGTATAGAGGAGGTGAGAGATTCTAGGTCTTCGAAAGCTAGCCCGAATGCCTTTGATATAATTCCTCCTTTGTGCCTCAAGAAGCAAAGCTAAGAGTCCTTGTGTGCAAAATAAGAACATATATAGGGACAAGGGGTCACCTTGCCAGAGTCCCCTCTCCGGGGTGAAGGGATCGGACAAAGCACAATTAAGCCTTACTTGGAAGAAAACATAGCTAATACAATTACGGATAAGGTTAACAAAGGATTCATTAAACCTCATTCTAATCATAACATTCAGCACAAAATCCTATTCGACCCTATCATAAGCTTTTTCCATATCTAACTTAATAGCTCCCCCTTATTTGGTCCATTTTTAGATCATTTAAGGTAGTGAATAAGCTCGTGAGCAACAAGAAATTTGTCCGAGATACGCCTACCCGGAACAAAAGCATATTGGTTTTCAGCAATGCATGTCGACATCAAGGGTTTTAAACGAATAACAATGACTTTCGACACCACCTTATAGACGACCGAGCAAATGCTAATCGATCAGAATTTTTTCATTAATTTTGGACTGTCGATTTTGGGAACAAGAACTATTATAGTGCGATTAACATCAGCAAAGTTTATATTAACATTCAGCAAATCAAGACAAAGACTAACAAAATCATGACCAACAATATTCCAAAAACTATGATAGAAATGATCGAACAAATCATCAATACCAGGGGCTTTAGAAGGGTTTACTTGCGAAAAGGCATAGATGACTTCCTCGGAGGTGAAGTTGCGGCAGAGCAATTCGTTGTCCATTGACGTTACACAACGATCAATGACCTACAAGATCTCCTCATCGGGCTCGGCTCCTGAACACTGGAAGAGAGAGGTGAAGTAACTTGTGGCCACATCGAAGATGCCCTCCAACTGGTCACACCAAACTCCTTCCTCACTCTCAATACCTTCTATCCAATTTTTCTTTCTCCTTCCATTAGCTCTAGCATGAAAGAATGTAATGTTCCTGTCTCCGTCCCTCAACCAAGCAACTCTTTATCTCTGCAACCAATAAGCCTCATCCTAGTCAATAATATCTTTAAGTTCAGCCATGGCCTGACAACGCTGCTCGCAAACAAGGTCTGAAACCGGAGCCGAATCCAATTGAAGAATTCGGTCTCTAAGTCATCTTTCATATAACACCCATAACCCGTATAATTATACCTATACAGATTATAGATGTGACCCGAATTTCTAAACATATTTTTAAAATTTAAAGCGATTTAAAAATTTATTTTCTTAAAATGGTAATTGATATTATAAAAATTTCATATCATATAAATTATGTTTCGTTATAACAAATTTAATTCAATAAGGTGGGGCATTTCTTCCACAAAATGAAGAAAAAAACCCTTACAACATCTACCCTTCTAAGGTGTTTTACATAGGTCATGTCGGTCTATTTTTGTCGATTTTAATCTAGACCTTCTTTTCAACAATTTCAACTTTCTTACCTTTATCTTTCATTTCCGACATCTGAACATAGTCATAATCATCATACATTATTAAAGAGTAACTTTACTCTCAATAGGCATCATCACATTATATATACAACTATCAGTAACTTTTGACATCCTAGTTCCATGTATACACTTTTTAACTCAAAACAAACTCGATTTAGTCCTAGAATCGGCTAAACCTATAGCTCTGATACCAATAAATGTAACACCAATAACCCGTATAATTATATCTATACAGATTATAGATGTCACCCGAATTTCTAACCATATTTTTAAAATTTTATTTTCTTAAAATGATAATTGATATTATAAAAATATCATATCATATAAATTATGTTTCGTTATAACAAATTTAATTCAAAAGATTTTTTTTATGAACAATGAACAGTGAACAGTGATGGTATCGATACCTGTAGCAGGATATCGATACCCCTGTAGCATTCTGGAAATTTTTAACGTCGGTACTGTTCATCACTATTCACTGCTACAGTAACTGCTACAATAACTTCAACAAAATATATATATATATATAACTCATAAAAACTTAACCTTTCATCATTATAAAATTTCTATTTTTCTTTCCAAATTTGTTCAACAAAATAAATTGAACATTAATAAGTACATGCCACTAACAAAGTCAACATTTCATCATAGGATGTCTTACTGATATTGAAATATACTCCTCGATGCTTGATGTCACTTTGAACTCTTTATTCCACTACTGACTTTTTACCTATGCTTGAAAATTATCACATGCTAAGTATATACTTAGTGAGGCAATTAAAACAATAAACAGTGCAATACAATTCATGCATGAATTTCAATGTCCAAATCAAAATGCCATAAGATCATGTTACACACATGTCTAATATTTTATCATGATAAAAAAAAAATAGAAAATTTCTTACCCATATACTTACCATTTATCCGATAAGCTTGTAAGCTTATTTTACCAATATACTTACCATTTAATTCTATAAGCTCGTAACCTTATTTTACCAATATACTTACCATTTAATTCCTTAAGCTCTTAAGCTTATTTTACTAATATACTTACCATTTATTCCATAAGCTCGTAAGCTTATTTTATCAATACACTTGCCATTTATTCCATAAGCTTGTAAGCTTATTTGCATGCTTACCATTTATTAAGCAATAAACCATATACCATAGACAATATCCCATTATAAAACCCTAAGGACCCTGGGTATTTGAGTAATATTTTCACCGTAGTGCTACACATAAGGTCGTTCCCACCATATACACCGAAGTGTATTACAAATAAGGTCGTGCCCACCATATACACCCAAGTGTATTACACATAAGGTCGTGCCCACCATATACACCAAAGTGTATTACACATAAGGTCGTGCCCATCATATACACCGAAGTGTATTATAAACATGCAGTTGCTATACTCTATGGCATGCCAACTATACCATGTCCCTCAATGACTTACTTGGGCATGTAGTCTATTTTATTTGATCCATCCATAGAAAAGTATATTATCATAATTTAACATTGGGCAATTCATACCTGAAATAACATTTATGGTAAAATATCACATTTTTCCATTATCAATGCATTATAATTTCATACTGTGACATATCAATATCATGTCAATTTATAAAAATAGGACATAATATCATGCTGATATAAACAATGTTGACTTATTGCAAGTCTTCCTGATGATGTATAAAACATCCATGTATAATGTCGTGCGTGTATTGCACTCACCTTGAAACTTTAAAAATTTTCCAAATATTTATGCCTCACAATTGTCCACAATAAACCCTTTTTATACTTGACTTGTTTCAATCACAAATCAATCATGATCTGTATAAATCAAAAATTCATAATAATATATATATTAGTATTGTACTAACATAAATACATCCCATAATAACTCCATAATATATTTGAAACTCATTATCTATCAAAATACTTAACTCTTAATAATTACTTTTAACACTGGAACAATCTTTTCCAATTTACACAAAATGGTCCTTCACCATTTTATCACTTAGATTCTTAATACCAATAATTCCAGCATTGAAATTATTTCCATTCAAATGCTTTTACAAAAGCATAATTACATTTAAGTACCCCAACTATGCGAATGTTGTACTTAAATCACAAATCTTTTCAAACTTCCAAAATAGTCATATTTCACATCTAACACTCATTTCAATTCCAAAACAACATTTTCCATCATAATACATCAATTATACAACACTTACACAGCAACACATCAATTTTCCAAAATTAACGAATTGATCCCCCAACTTTTCAAATATTATGAAATGGTCCCTAAATTTTCTAAGGCTTGTAAAATACTTTCTTCATTATTTCCAACCATTATATAATTTTTCCATAATTTTTCTCACTCAAATAATCCATGGCTGAAATTTAAAGAACAAGTTCTAGAAAGATTAAACAAGTTCTAATCATCATACATGCTTGAATATGATTCAACTACCTTACAAACATCAAGATCCATCATTAATTCCATGATCCCTTAAATGAACACAAACTGTAAAATTTGGGATCTTTGAACACCAACAAGATTATCATGCAATATTGGTACCAAATGATAACGTTTTTCGCATATAGAAATTTCTATTTTATGGCATACTCAAAATCCAAATGAATCTTCTTAAAAATTGAATTGAAGCTTTATCTCACCTTTGGAGAAAACCCACGCAGCTTGGAGAAGAAGATGAGCAATATGGATGAAATGTTGGGTGCATTTCATATTAGTTTACATTTAATTCCACTATAAATGAATAATATATTCATTTAATTGAGTAAGATCAAATCACCCTTAATGAATCTTCTTATTCACCATAAAATCAAGACACCTCATCATTATCATCTTTCAAAGACAAATATGAATTAATTGGACTTTAATTTACGAAATTTCCCATGAAATTTTCAAAACTTGCATTTTAGTCACTAAATTCCACTGTTTCGGTTAAATAAATAAAATTGTACATTTCCAAACCAAATTTCTTTGATATAAAATATTAAAATAATATTTCCAACCATTTTATAACATCCTTCAAATTTTTGCAAAATTCCAATTCGATCTGAATTAC